CCTGCCAGGGCTCCTCTGAGTCTCACTAGTGACAACAAAGCCATGGAAGGGGAATATATAGATTCAGAGGCTGCTATCAGCTGTGGAAAGGGGCCAATAGCAAACCCACCTGCCTTTTTAGTTATTATCAGTGGTTTGATCTGTGACTTTAGGCAACTAAATCAACCAATAATACTCAAAAGCAACAAACATCACCATATATGAGTGATGAGTCCCCTCCTGATGTCAGGTTTGCCAGCGTCTCAGATCATCCGGTTACCCCCAGTCTCCGGTGTGGGAGAGAAAAGTGCTGAACAAACTGTGTCTGTTCTGTTTGTCACCCCGATAGATTCTACATCATATTTAACATCAGTTGGAAGACATTAGAGGCTGGTAGAGGTAGTTATGATGTAGTCTAAAAACCCAGGAAGAAATCCCAGGTGCCAAAGGGGATCATTACAACACACACTCTGCGTGTGGGACACGGCCACTTGCAGACAGGGACCATTCACTAGATCCAGGTTGTGCCACTTAGGGCAGCTGTTGTACAAGCGGAATTGCCCAGCACAATCTGTAATGTTGGTGGCTCTTCTATGAATAGGCCTTGGAGTTTCCTACCTAGACCATGATCCTTATGGACGCAGACAGAGACTAGGGCTTCCTAAGTGGCCATGGCCCTCTCTGGAAGCAGCAGGAAGTCCTGCATTCACCAAGCCCATCAGTGCTGTCGGGAGTACGGGAAGGAGGGCTCTTTGTAAACAAGTTTACTCTGTTCTTGAGACACAGGCAAAGGAACTGGGAGAGTGTCGGGGTACATGGCAGAGAGTAATGACTGACTAGCACCACCCCCGCCTCAGGCTCTTCCTAAAGAAACCTGTGGCAAGTGCTTTGACTAAGGGAAACGTCTTTGACCCTTTATCTTTAGTTTGTCACCTACACTTCTCTTTCCGTCTGTCTGCAGCTCTACTTCATCCTCCTTCTAATCCCTCCTTCCCACTCAGCTCTGGTGTGATTCTCTTCCTTCCCTCTTATTTTACCCTTGTCCCAGCCCTAGCCCTGCCATTGCCTCTCACTCTGCTCTCTGTCTACTTAAAAACAATGATAAGAAACCAGGAAATTGCACCAATCATCACCATGTGAATTTGTTTCTGTGCTATTTCTCCATTTCCAATGCGATCTCTGTTCTCAAGTCATTTAGACAGAGAGCTTTCTGGGGAAAGGAATATTTCTTCTGTGACCTGAATGGGCTTTTGTGTGGCACACTAATACAAATTAACTGATAAATAATAATAATAAATGTACTACTATATTGCCAAGAGACTTAAAGAAGATAGAAGCAGGTTTCAATGGTTAAAAAATAAACTGAAATGTCTGAGGGCATATCTACACTAGGAAATTATTTCAAAATAAGTAATGTAACCCTTCTGCCAGGTAGGCCTGGCAGTAACCAGCACTGGGTTCAATATCTTGGGGTCCATCTCACACAGAACCGGCTCGAGCCCCCATCCAGTAATCTGGGAAATTCACGCACCCCTGGGCGCCTCTGAGAGGCAATGCTTCCCCACTCGCAAGCACTGAGTCTGAGTGTAGGAAAGAAACATTTAATGAAACAGAGAGAGAAGTCATACGGCATTAACTTGGGGAAAACACCACAAACAGAGTTCATAACCCAAACATGAGCCAAGCCCCCACCCCAGCCAAGAATCACCCGAAGTCCAGAGTCCGAAACCCCAAAAATCTCTGTCCCTGGTCCGTGCCACCCAGAGTCCCAAAGTTCACCCGCAGGGTTTCACCTCCCAACCTGGGTAGAAATGGGGGTCGGGGGAATAGATAGGGGGCACCTTATATGAAACTCCGCCACGCTCCACCAGCTGTCTTGTCCCACGCCACTGGATGCTCCGCTAGGCACCTCCCAAAGTTCACCGCAGGGTTTCACCTCCCAACTTGGGTAGAAATGGGGGTGAGGGATAGATAGAGGGCACCTTACGACATTCCACCATGCTCCACCAGCTGTCTTGTCCCATGCCACTGGACATGCCGCTCTTCACCTGCCGCCGCTCCGCACCACACCTCTGGTCACCGCTCCTCGCCTGCCGCCACTCTACGGAGCGCAGCAGCAGTCTAGATGCAGGTGAAGTTTTTTCAAAAAAGGCCACTTTTTTCAAAAAAAGCTCTGTAGTCTAGACACACCCAAAGTTACTGGTGGTAGGAACTAACAGTACAATTATTTTAGTTTCAATCCACAACATTACTCTCATCAAGTAGACAATTTGGCACATTTCCTATTCAAATCAAGCCAATTAATCCCCATCATGGTTTATTATTTTACTGTCATGAAAGCTCTAAATCAGACTGCAAGTTCATTATCCATGCATGACTTTCGAAGGGATACTTTACCTAATCATAAAAACCAAGTCCGTTTTCCTTTCGGATTTTCCAAAACTGTTTGTCAAAATTCCAGGGGTTTCTCCCTTCACAACATTCGTGCTGAATCTTGTTTTAAAGTATCAGCTATCTGTTTAGTCCACTGGTTTACATCATGTCAGTAGACTATAGTGGCATAGTTTCTATGGAAAGTAATCTGGAACAAAAATACCAGATTCATAATGGGTTTGGATTCTCTCCTGAGCCATATTTACGTGTCAACAGTTAACAGTTAATTACCTTGCAGAGCTAAACAACTGTAGTGGGCACACCCACCCCTCCTTTTAGCTGGCTGACAGCAAGCAGCAGTTCAGTCCCTGCTTACAGTAAAATCAACATCATTACTCCAGATTTAACAAAATCAAAATAGTGCGTCCACATTATGGAGAAGCATCAAAATTAGTTAGAATTAGTGCAAAATATCATGTCCACACCAACTGGAGCCTGCATTGGACTTAGAGCCCCCAGAAGCACTCTGGGGATGACACCAGGAGGGTGGGTACTTCCTGTGGCTGCTCGGTCAGGCAAGCTGAGACACATGTTTTCAGGGGCTCCTCTCTATAGCTGCATCTCACATGCTGCTTCTCCACTGCCTCCTCCCTTGCAGTACACCAAAGGGATGCAGTGGGCTCTGGTTGCCCTTGTGGTGCCACAGCATTCACAGCATGGAGTTGGAGCTACTGCAAAGCAGTGCCAGGCTCATGGGCCTCATGCTGCTCCTCATGGCACAGCACTTCCAGACTGCCTGCATGCTGCTCCAGGGGAACGAGGACCAGCCCAGACCACTGGTCCTGCTCACCCAGGTCTTGGCTCTCCTGCTGCTGCACATGCCCCTCATTCCCCTGTGTCATTAGTCAGGCAGGGTCATCCCAATGAGTGCCTCACAGGCCTTCTGCTCCATTATGATGATAAACTTTTGGCTGCGTGCATGTGCTCCCTTGTCTAACAATTAGTCAACATGACAGATTCCCAGGAGAACTCCCAGAGATCACAAAACAGATAAGGATTGAAAGCACCTATGATAGGGCATTTTCCCTTTCTGGCCCTTAAAGGCCCTTAGCTCAGTGAGGGCTGAGAGGCAGTTAATGAGGGCCCAGCTGGAGGCTAAAAAGAGGAGACCTGCCTGCTGCTCTGTAGGGAGAGTAGTAGGGATATGACTGCCAGGGAAGCAAGAGGCTTCCTGGAAAGGGAAGGCCAGGCCAGGCCAGGCCATGGCCCAGTAAGCCCAGGCTACCAGGCCTAAAGCCGCTAAGGGCTATGAGAGGCAGCCATGGTGGGCTGGAGAGGCTCTCACCATCTCTCAACTCTTCCAGCTGCACCCCACTGTGGAGTGCAGTGTCTGGTGGCTGGACACCAGTTCTGACTGGTGGGACTGGCTCATTATGGAGCGGTGGAATGATCAGCAGTGGCTCCAGAATTTCTGCATGCAGTCGGAGACCTTTCTGGAACTGTGTGCCTGGCTCGCCTGTGCCCTCACACATGCCACCCACCACCCCGCTGGAAAAGCTGCATGGAAGCTCTCTATGCCAGACAGCTACCGATCCATCGGCAACCAGTTCAGTCTGGGGAACTTGACCATCAGGAAAACACGTGGTGAAGCTCCTTTGCTCATGGGGGAGTGCTTAAAAAATAAAAATTCTGCAGAGTATTATAAAATTCTGCATCTATTTCTTTGTGAAAACACCACAGTTGTATCACACCAGTTTCAGTCATTACCCAGGATCTCAGAGTTCTGCTAGACAGTAGGCACTCTGGTGTGGTGTCTGTTTGGGACCATGTTGCTGAGAGAGTACAGACTTGATTGCCACACTGTTCGACTTGTCTTCAGTAAGAAAGGCTTCCTGGTGTCTGGGACAGTGGGCAAACCGCAGTAAGGGCACCTGTGACGCAGGCTTAGGGCAGCTGTCTCTGAAAATGCCAAAGTAAGGGCAGGCTGCAAAAGGGAGACCAAATTCTCCCCCAGCTGTTGGTTAACACTGAAGTTACATTTACCAGGCTACATGCTCACAATTGTCAGCTCCTGACAATGCTGTAGACAGAGTGTGGGAGGGAAGCTGATTTCCTGGCTTTTGCCAGTGGCTGAGAGGATTGTGATGGATCAACCAGGGAAGTCCAACGATCAGGGAATGGGTGGAGAGGTACTGAATTGTATTGCCTCCCAGTGCCCTTGCAGAGGGGCTGTTCCTTAGTCACTGATAATAAGGCACAGGGGAACCATCAAGAGTCTCTACTGGGTCTGGGGCAAGCTTGCACTGCAAAGGAATTTGCAGAGCTCAGGAGCGGCAGTACCTATGAAGCCATGAGTGGCTGCCAAATCAGTGAGGGACTGCTCAGTGGGGCACAGGACGTGTCCTAGTAAGCACTAGTGCCCTGGGGAATGTCATTCCTTCAGGGTCCAGGACTGCACTACCTCGTTTTATAGGCCCTGTGTGTAAGGCCTGCTAGCAGTGTCCCCTTTCATTTTACCCCTCCGTGCATGGAATGAATTTTGTTATGTGCAACTACAGTGAGGTGATGTGGGTGTGGGCCCTGGGGTGGGAATGAGGGGCTCAAACCTGGGGCAGAGTGTTGTGGGGGTGAGGACTCCAGGGTGGGACTGGGGATGGGGAGGTTAGGGCTAGGACAGAGGTTTGGGATAAGTGTTGGGGCTCCAGGCTCTGGGGCAGGTCCAAGGTGGAGGGTTTTAGTTGCAGGCTGCCCTGTGACTACAGTGGGGCTGGAGGATTCCCCTCAGCTCTCTCTCCTCACAGCAGCACTGGGCCTGGGAGGAATGGGCACTTATCTCTGCTGCAGCAGCTCCAGGCTGGGGCCATGAGACAGGCATCTTCCTTACAACTGTAGCAGGTCCAGACTGCAGCTGGGTTGGTGTCAGGGGAGGGGCACTTCTCCCAGGTCCAAACAGGGCTGAGGGGAGGAATCTCTCCATGCCACAGCTGTGAGAACGTCTGTGTTGCTTAACAGGCTGCTGAACAACTGTGCAGAGAATTTAGCCCTGCAGATCTAAAACCCAGGTCTGAAAAGCGGGCCCAGCCTTTCACCCAGCAGCAGCTGTAACCAACTTGTGCTTTATTGCCCATGGACGGCTATGGATTCCAGTGGTAGAAAAAGTACCCAAAAAATGTTACTTAAGTAAAAGTAGTGCTACTTTGAAAAAAAATGTAACTAAGTAAAAGTCAAAATATCCTTCTGGAAAACTACTTGGCTACATCTAGACTGGCATGATTTTCCGCAAATGTGTTTAACAGAAAAAATTTTCCATTAAAGCATTTGCAGAAAAGAGTGTCTAGATTGGCCCGGACCCTTTTCCGCAAAAGCCCTTTTTGCGAAAAAGTGTCCGTGCCAATCTAGACACGGTTTTGCACAAGAAAGCCCCAATTGCCATTTTCAAAACAATAACACATTGTCTACACTGGCCCTCTTGCACAAAAGCAGCATAGCATTTCCGCAAGAACACTGACAATCTTACATGAGATCATCAGTGTTCTTGCGGAAATTCAAGCGGACAGTGTAGACAGCTGGCAAGTTTTTTGGCAAAAGCAAAAAGCTTGCCAGTAAAATTGTCTTTAAGTATCCAGAAGTAAAAAGTAGCTGTGATATGGAAATCTATGGTTAACCACCCAAGTTATTGTAGGGCACCATTATTTTTCACACACAGACACACACACACTATTCAGACCCTGCTTACATATATATACTTATATGTGTGCATATGGATATATGTGTGTGTGTGTTATACACATATACTGTACATTTATATTTCAAATCTGGATTTTAAATGTAGTTACAGCCTTCATTTATAAAGCTGAAAAGTGACCAAATTGAATACAGGAGTCAAATAACAGAAATGTATTTATTTTGTCCACATTCACCAGTGCACATTGTTAGCATTTTAGCATTGTAATGATTATTTACAAAAATGTTTGTTCAACCTTAGAAGCAGTTGATTTTCAAATGATCAGAGTCAAGCCTTGCTGTCCTAGGACAAAATATGAGTCCAGCAACACGAAAGTGTCTCCATAGGCAGCTGAGGCAGGCAGAAGTGTTGGGCCTGATGGACACCTCTCTGTTTGTAGGAAAGGACCACGGCAGATCAGTGGTGTCTGCTGAGCAGGCTAAATACCCATCAAGCTGCCTTGCAGTTTCATTTGTGCAAGAAGACTTCATTGAAACAAAGAAGCCATTCTGCTCCTCAAGTGGGTCCAGTAAAGGCTCCATCTGTTGTCTGATGTAGTCACGACTTTATTGGAAAATAAATTAATGAGAATTAATATAAAAACTAGGGCTAGTTATGCAACTAAATAAATAACATTACAGATAAATTGTGCTGCCAACTAATGAACTATCAGATCTATTTGGCTCTTTAATCAAACCTGCTTTCCCTCATAACATTACAGTGTAGAACTAAACATCTGACAAAGGAATTAAACAAACATGTTTTATTTTTAACATATAAATATTAGCTGGTAGGTAAAAAAACATTCTCACCTAAAACCAACCAGTTAAACTGAAAGCTTTCTGTCAGCAGATATTGCAGCTATATTGCATGGGAGATCCTTGAATGTTACTGACAGGGGCAGGAGTGGGTCTGGAACATGTTCGGAAAAGGAAATGACACTGGTTCATAATGCCCCAGAACTACTGATGGGATCCATCAGAATATTCTGGCAGAGCAACTGTATTCCCCTGTTCAGGGAAGGACTCTTCTTCCTTGCAAAATGTTGCATTCTCCATGCATGGTCAGTTGACTGATTCCTGGAGCAGATGATTCTCCATGGACAGTTGAACAAGCCAATTCTGCAGGGCTTAATTATCCACCCAATAGAAAGGGGCCTGTTTGGGTGTCTCTGGTGCTTCTGGGGGCAGTAGTTCCATTGCCGGGTCCTTTCTTCCTGCATTGAGCCTTTGTGAGAGTCTCAGTGCCCCAAACAAGCTGTCATGACCTCAGAGCAGGGAGCCTGGCCTAGCGGTTACTGTCAAGCACAAGGCAAGGGGCCAACGGCCAAGAGTCAATTTTAAGGAAAGAGATGGCAGTGGAATGCTTTGATTTCAGAGAGGGCGAAAATAGTGCAGGGCTGGAACCAAGAGACTGAACAGCAGAGTCAGGATACCAGGTCGTTATCAGAAGATAACTACTTCTCTGTGCAGTGCCTGTGCCCCTTCGAGATGTGTGTCCCTGTGGTCGCTGCACTCCAGGCATGCAACTCTCCAGCCCTGGGTTGGAGATTTCTATCGCGTACCGCCTGGTCCACCAGCACATGTGCCCCAAGTCTCTCCATCACAGGCACGTAGGCAATATAGAAATGTGTGGGGTAAACTCTACCCAGTCACCCACTTATGCAACACCGGAACCAGAGGAGTAGGAGAGGACAAAGTGGAGTGCCCATAGGGACACATATCTCAAAGAACTATAGTTACTGTCCAGGATGAGTTGGGTTTCCTTCTTTGAGAGCTGTCCCCATTTTTCTGTTGAGTTGCCACTGACTGGGGTGTGTGAAAAAAGTGATTCCTGAAGCTGCCCCAGAGAGTTGGCGTGCTTGAGCTTTGCTAAGTTGAAGGTTGTTATGTTCAGTGCTCAATGTTTGTGTTGTGAGGAGACTTTATGCAAGTTGAACACTGGACTTACCAATCTGTGGTGTGTCCAGCCATCTCCATTGAGCATGGCTCTAGTAATTCTGACACTGGCGACGACTCATTGGCGGGTGATGACACAGTTGAGCAAGGACATTGTTTGACCCTGTGCACATCCAGGTATTTATCATTTGCCTAAAGCTGGTGTAGGTATTCTGTTCTGCACATTTACTCAAGGAGAGAAATCCATTGCTCTTCGTCTTTCCCACTCGATGTCATGCTGTCACACGGCTACTTAGAATCACAGAATCTTAGGGCTGCAAGAGACCTCAGGAGGCCATCAAGTCCAGCCCCCTGCCCAAGGCAGGACCAATCCCAACTAAATCAACCCAGCCAGGGCTTTATCAAGACAGGACTTAAAAACCTCTAGGGATGGAGATTCCACCCCCTCCCCAGGGAACCCATCCCAGTGCTTCACCACCCTCCTAGGGAAATAGTTTTTCCTAATATCCAACCTAGACCTCCACCCCTGTAACTTAAGCCCATTGCTCCTTGTTCTGCCATCCATCACCACTGAGAACAGCCTCTCTCCATCCTCTGTGGAACCTCCCTTCAGGAAGTTGAAGGCTGCTATCAAATCCCCCCTCACTCTTCTCTTCTGCAGACTAAATAAGCCCAAATCCCTCAGCCTCTCTTCATAGGTCATGTGCTCAATCATTTCGGTTGCCCTCCACTGGCCCCTCTCAAATGAATACACATCCTTTCTATAGCGGGAATGGGGTGGGAGTGGGACTGCGGAACTGGACGCATACTCCAGATGTGGCCTCATCAGAGCTGAATAAAGGGGAATAATCACTTCTCTAGATCTGCTGGCAATGCTGCTCCTAATGCAACCTAATATTCCATTTGCCTTCTTGGCTACAAGGGAACACTGTTGACTCATATCCAGCTCCTCATCCACTGTAATCCCCCAGTCCTTTTCTGCCGAACTGCTGCTTAGCCAGTCTCTTTCCCACTCGATGTCATGCTGTCACACGGCTACTTAGAATCACAGAATCTTAGGGCTGCAAGAGACCTCAGGAGGCCATCAAGTCCAGCCCCCTGCCCAAGGCAGGACCAATCCCAACTAAATCAACCCAGCCAGGGCTTTATCAAGACAGGACTTAAAAACCTCTAGGGATGGAGATTCCACCCCCTCCCCAGGGAACCCATCCCAGTGCTTCACCACCCTCCTAGGGAAATAGTTTTTCCTAATATCCAACCTAGACCTCCACCCCTGTAACTTAAGCCCATTGCTCCTTGTTCTGCCATCCATCACCACTGAGAACAGCCTCTCTCCATCCTCTGTGGAACCTCCCTTCAGGAAGTTGAAGGCTGCTATCAAATCCCCCCTCACTCTTCTCTTCTGCAGACTAAATAAGCCCAAATCCCTCAGCCTCTCTTCATAGGTCATGTGCTCAATCATTTCGGTTGCCCTCCACTGGCCCCTCTCAAATGAATACACATCCTTTCTATAGCGGGAATGGGGTGGGAGTGGGACTGCGGAACTGGACGCATACTCCAGATGTGGCCTCATCAGAGCTGAATAAAGGGGAATAATCACTTCTCTAGATCTGCTGGCAATGCTGCTCCTAATGCAACCTAATATTCCATTTGCCTTCTTGGCTACAAGGGAACACTGTTGACTCATATCCAGCTCCTCATCCACTGTAATCCCCCAGTCCTTTTCTGCCGAACTGCTGCTTAGCCAGTCAGTCCCCAGTCTGTAACAATGCTTGGGATTCTTCCATTCCAAGTGCAGGACTCTGCTCTTGTCCTTGTTGAACCTCCTCAAATTTCTTTTGGCCCAATCCTCTAATCTATCTAGGTCACTCTAGACCCTATCCCAGCCCTCCAGAATATCTACCTCTCACCCTAGCTTAGTTCATTCGTTCCCTGCTTGCTCTACCAACTCTAGCATGAAAGTCTCCAAGCAGGATGAGTTTGTCATAAACTGGGGTTGACCTGATGATGGAGTCGAGGTTAGAGTTCAGCTGCTCCTTGTTTTCC